CGCTTTCCTGGGGAATAGGCAGAGCTTTGGGGATTAACAGAATTAGTCAGGGCCATTCAGCTGTGCATTCACATGGCTCAGTACTAGCCTCCCTCCCAGTCTTGACACTGGTGAGCCTCTGCGGACAGGGTCTGTACAGTCAGTGGCCTTGAGGCCTTCCCTTCGGGGATGCCCTTCTTCTACAGCAGTTCCACTGGGGTTACCGGTTGACCTTGTGACCCTTACTCTCCAGCTGAAGGGATTTTGCAAAGTCTACCTTAGTCCTGGAAGGAAGGGGGGCATGTGGGGTTTAATCTAAGTTTAGTGATCATTGTGGATGGGTTGGAGAAGGCCCTGGGCTCCACTGAGGAATCTGGGCTCAAGGTACAGAACCCGAGGCAATTCTCTGCATTGTCTTGCTGGTGGCACACACAGGGGCCGAGGTCCACTGTCTGTAGGATGGACACAGTAATGATGGTGCTGTACAGGGTGTAGTGACCAATGTGTGAAATCACTTCATAACTGTGTGGTGGGAGCTCCCAGAGAAAGGTGCTCCAAAGCCCAGATGCCCATCCCCTGTTGTAACTCTAGTGTTCTGACTCTGTTTGGTACTAGCTAATTGGTGGGTGCTTTCTGGAAAGAGTCTGCTTATCTTAGTGAACTTCAAAAGGATTTCTCCACACTTGCTAGGTCCTCACTTCTTGGACACAGCCTGGATATAGGGTAGGTCTGAGCTTGTTCATTATTAACTTGGGGCTGGAGAGGACAAACAGAATGGGGAAAGATTTCTTTCTGCCTTCTCCAACTTTCTCTGCCTCCTCTGTCTTGCTTTGCTTCCCATCTTTGTTTTCTCCTGTCTTTGTGCTGTGCAGAGAATCGCAGTTGAGTCTTGCACCATTATTGACTCACAGTGAGCCACAGCCAGGTGCCTAGACCTTGAGTGTGTTGGACCTTGTATCACTGCCTCTACCCACCCCAACTGTGAAGGTTCAGGGTCAGGGCCAGATCTGTGCTGTGGCACCTGTGTCCCAGACTACTGAGGTGTGGTCTTCTGAAGCTCTCGGATGACCTTGGGCTGTAGTGCTGTGAGCAGGTATGGTCAGGAGTATAGACTCTGGTGTCTGTTGTACCCAACATATCCTTGGGTCACTTCACTACTTGTGACAGTGATTGAAAAGTGCACCCAAATGTGATGTATAAGTTAGCTCTGATCATCACTCTAATTTATGCTTTCCCCACAGCTCAGAGGATGTGGTAGTCCGAGTGCCAGGCGGCCAGCTCACAGTGGGCTACATGGAGGAGCACGGCTTCACTGAGCCCATCCTAGTCCCCAAAAAAGATGGGCTGGGCCTCGCTGTGCCGGCCCCCACCTTCTATGTCAGCGATGTGGAGAACTATGTGGGTAAGTGCCCTTCCTGGCCCTGTAAATGGACATTCAAACCCTATACCCACACTCCCTGAGGTGCACTGGGATCCTTGCTATGGAGGTTCAGGACAGGGCACTTGGGGTTTGTGCAAGGCACTCAGCTTCTCCGACTCTGCATCCCATGAACCATGTGTGGCACTGGTGAACCCCTCCTCTCCTTTAGTTGCACTGACTTTAATGTGGAGGGCTGAACTGGAGACTCCCTAGATTTCTCCACCTGTAGAACCCACTATAATTGGGCCTGTACTGAATTATGCCAGGAACGTTTAGAAATGTCGGGCATCTCCCTTTGTGTTAGGACAGGCACCACTGTACTGGCTCCGTATCTCTCCTGAGGCCGATGAGTAGAACTTGTCTTCCTCCATGTCAAGGCACCTTTTCTGGAGCACAGTCTCTCTGGGTCAACCAGGATTCTAGGAGCAAGCCTGGGACAGTGCCTGCCTATGCCTCCATTTGGCCCAGGGCATTTCAGGAGGGAAGAGGGCCATGGGATAGGTAGACCAATGGCCATCTGGTTACCTTGAGACCCTCATTGTTGATAGGATGCTCACAGGAGAAGGCTGCAAGGCTGTGTGAGAGAGGAAAATGTCGAAAAGATGACTCTCAGACCCGTGCTGTTGTTCAGACTGGAGCAAACTGGGCCTCTAGGCAGGCCGGCCTCTACAGGCATTGGAGGCTTTATTACCTAGTGCTGTTGAGCAGAGATTCTCCTAGTTCAGGGCACTAGATGTCCGAATTCAGGGGGCAGCTATAAAGGGGTGTGTGTGTGTGTGTGTGTGTGTGTGTGTGTGTGTTTCCTTGTCCATTTCAATGTAGCCTAAATAAATCCTAATTTACCATGGTGCTTCCCTGCAGTGACGATGTCATAAATTGATTCTGATGTAAGTAGAATACCTTTTTTCTCTTTCAGCTTTCATTATTGACTTATGTCAGAAATTTTACTTATGTCAGTAGAATACCTTTCTTTCAGCCTTCATTATTGACTTATGTCAATAATTTTACGTATGTCGGTAGAATACCTTTCAGTTTTCATTATTGACTTGTATTATTAATTTTTTTTCTAAATTCAGTCTTTGAACATCAAGGAGTGAACATTTGAGAATTATAGCATCAGAAAATTATATACTGAAACATTGTATATAGTATATATCATTAACAGTAAGATATACATTATAACTTGCATACTGTATATCATAAGTCAAGGACTCCTTGCATCGATTTGTTTCTGTCTTCCACTCCCACTTCTCCCTGTTCCTGTCTCTGTGTCCATTCTGCTCTTTTTAATAACTCAGAACTGTTTAGGTTTAGGATCCATCCTACACTGGCATAATTTCATTAACATAATACAACACGAATTACAAACAGTATCATATTCAGAGATATGGCTCATATATATGAGGAGCAGGTCTGACCTGTCCTTACCCTGGGCCATAAAATGGAATTCGCTTTCTCCATACAGGAAGTGGTAACTCCAGGCTTCTAATATTTTGATTAATGAATTTAATTATTTTTATTTCTTTATAACCGACTTAATTTTTTTAGAGCAACTTTAAGGTTACTGAAAAATTGTGCAAAATATAAAGAACTCCCATATGCCCATCCTCCCATGGTTTCTAACATTATTAATGTGAAAGCCCCCATGTTATAGTGATTTTAATTAAGGAGCCATTATTAGTGGACTAGTATTAAATAAAGTCCATAGTTTGCATAGGTGTTCACTCTTTCTTTTTTTAGTGTCAATTTTGTTTTACTTTGCTTTGGTTTTCCTTTTTAGATTGTGTGTGTGTGTGTGTGTGTGTGTGTGTGTGTGAGAGAGAGAGAGAGAGAGAGAGAGAGAGAAAGAGAGACAGAGGGTAGAGAGAGAATTCAGAGGGGATTTACATATCAAATCATCATTTTTGACTTGAACAGATAAAACTCTAAGTAACTGGACAAATTATTGGACGATTTGTGTAAATTAGTATTTACACAAACAATATGGTTGGTGACAGGCCAAAACTTTGTTCAATAACACTTATTCACAAAGGCAGAACCGCTCCTACCAGACTAATACATGTCATAAGAAAGCAAGGAGGGCATAAAAATATATGGTAATCCCCAGTTCAGTGAATGCTGACCCAGGGTTATCAGAAAATAGGCATTACTATTCTAATGCCCTCCTCATTGTTATTATTTTTAATCGTTTTATTGAGAGCTCTTACAATGCTTATTACAATCCATACATTAATTGTATCAGGCATATTTGTACATATGTTGCTATCATTCTTTTCTAGAAAGTTACTTTCTATTGAGCCCTTGGTATCAGCTCCTC